GTGGTACAGTAAAATCTCGGTAGAACGAACTCCTCATTAACCATCTTTCTAGATTAAAGAACTTATGAAAAATCCCGCACAGACTGCTAATAGTTTCAATGTAAAATTTCAAAATAATGAGCACTAATTTAGTTCCACGTTATACTAACAACGCCTCAGTACAGCGAACTCATGTTCTGAAACCCATAGCGACTATCAGAGCGGTACACAAGCAGACGAAAGAGCGAACGGACGCCTTGCTTCTCAGAACACGCACAACGGTGTGGAGAGAAAAAACAAAAAACAAAAGGACTTTCTTTTCTTTTTGTTGAAACGCCAACGCTGCAGGTTTCCAAGCGCCGAGGCGAGGGCAACGCAGGAGGGCAAGGTCGGCGAGGCAGAGTGAAAGTTGCGGAGCAGGAAGCATGGGCGCGAAAAACCTGAGACAGCAAGGGAGCAGAAAACGAAATGCGAGGGATTTTTTTTCTAGCTCTTTCTTTTCTTCGGAAGAGATGATGATAGCCATAATCATGGTCCCTTCTACATGTGCTCCAGGAAGCCTTGTCAGTTGTGTTCATCTCTTTTCGGTGATTACCTATTGCGTCCGCAAAGCAAGTCGGCATTCGTGTTGTGGTGTGGGAGTTTTAGAATAACGTTTGCAGGCACTGCGGGCACCATATGAAATTTAATATAGCATTTGCCCTCCTGCAAACCGCAACGCACAATCGCAGCGACACTGTAGTTTCGAAACCAGCACTTGCGGACCAGAATGCGAGCGGCGACTCGCGTTACGAGGCGTGCGCAGTGGCAGCGATTGCACTGCAAGGGCTCACGGCGCGCTATTCTAAAACTTTGTAATGAGTTCATCTCTGCTTGTGACGAAAAAGCGGAAGCAGTTCTCGCTAAGCGATAAAGCGGATCACACCACCGAATCGCACCACAAGAATGTGGATGAGCTAGAGGCCTTTGCGCTGCAAAGTTTGTGCTGCAAGCGAGAGAGAGAGAGAGATTTCTTTAAGTAAACGTGCATTTTTTAGTGTTCACTTGTGCACTTGTTTTTTTTTCTCGTGAAAAAAAAGAGTTCAAAGACTCTGTTTTAAAAATAAGTTATTTTGGTTGGTGGAAGATAAGTATTTATGGTTAATTTTTGGGCTTTCACTATAATGACCTTTCAAAATAACAAATGAATTGGCGCGGCCACCTGAGGTTCGTTATACCGAGAGTTCACTGTATACAGACCTGTCTAGTCTTCATACTTGCGGGTGGCAAATCGCACTTGTGACTACGTTTAATGCTGCGTTTCGATTTTGTTTTCAAAAAACATATAAAAAGTCCAGACTCTTTTGAACTCAGTGACCCGATTTGAAATGGTAAGCCTAAAAGAATAATGTGATGAAGCACAACCGCTGAACATTTGCTGATCTGGGTTTGGTGACAAAACAGCTCCAAGCCACACGAACACACACTAAGTCAGAAGTACGAAGATCAGACAAATACATGTACTACCCATCAGTCCTATGCACGCTGAAGCGCCGTGCGTTGCAGCTCCCGTAGACACTCAAGCCAAAGTTACCTGTAGTGTATATTTGAAAATCTCCATCAGGCTTCAGACTTTTGGGGGGCTCGGCTAAGAATCGGGGTCAGCCTAGATTCGAGTAAATACGACATCCCATATATTTTTCATGCAGTGGTGAGAATGAAAGGGTGCAACAGTTGAAATAGAATTTGAAGCAATTTTCGGAGCAGCAAATACTGATGAAGTGCACATTGGTATTTTCCACGCTTGTCAAATCCTTTGACAGACTCCGACGACAGACATGCGGAAATGCCAAGCGGGGGACTTTGAGATTTGGGAGATTCGTAAAAGTGAATAGGGGTGGGGAAAAAAAAAAACTGGCAGACAATTTTGTTCGAGTTTCTTGGGCCTGCAGAAATATCATACAGTGCTCCAAATGATTGCCACTACCACTAACATTTTCAGACATCAGCGATTATATTAGTACACTAAGTTATGTGATGTACACACTCTTAGGAATTAAACTGTGCTGTGTCCTCCGACTGGTGCTAACAGCCACTTTCAAATTTTAAAATGCTTTCCCACAGGCCATCGGTGTGTTGCGGGGAAGGTGGCTTAAGTGGCGTTCTTTACGGGTCAGAACAAAATCAAAATTTTCGAACCACTACACCCCCCTCCCCTTCTCTCTCTCTCTTTTTTTTTTTTTTTCATGATGGGGTTAGGTCTACGGCTCTACTTTCCAGCTCGCTTGCAAGGTGCATTTTACTAAAGTAACGACGACACGCACTCGGCTCGGCAACAGGCCAATGGCATGCTCCGTTGCTATGGCAACTACGTGGTCGCTGGCAACGCCGGCGTTCGCCGCACGTCGAGTTGGCTTGCACGCATAGCCGCCTTTGTTGACTAGGAAATTCATCACCAAATTCGCCTGGGCGTCGCCTTCACTCGCCACTACACCCACTTAATCGGCCGTGCGGACAGCCCGAATTGTGAACGCTGCCAAGTGCGCAAAACAATAGGTCACATATTTTGTGACTGTGCATTATACATGGCGCAAAGAAAAATGCTAACTGCAACGCTGGCAAGCATTGGACGAACACCATTAAGTGAAAACCACATATTGTCAGCAATGAACGACCAAACAGTGTCAAAAACTGCTACAAAGGCTGTTCTAGACTTTTATAAGCACTGGACTAGAAACAAGACTGTAGGGTACTATGCTAAGTGGCTACTGTACATACACACCACCTCTTCTTGTCCCCATCATCACCCTTCATCCCTCTTTCCTTCCCCTTTCCCTTATACCCTGTGTAGAGTAGCAGGCTAGAGCAAACTAGCTCAGGCCGACCTCTCTGCCTTCTAATAAATTCTCACTCTCTCTCTCTAGGAAATTCATGTTTCCCATGATATGTTGCTGGCTATGGCAACACATTTTTGTCTTGAAGTTGCTTCGTCCCGCCAATAGGTATCCGTTGCGGTAGGCGGACCGATGGGCACGCGGCATTGCTACTTTATCTGGTCAATCGCGTGTTGCGAAAGTCCTGGCCTAATGAGTATACATCTTTTACTGTGGTTTAGGGTTAGGGTGTGCGTGCCTGAATTGATAAATGACGTGGACTACAGGTTGCCAATGTGGCGTCTATTTCTAGCTGAAGTTAGCACAACTAAACAAATTTTAAGGCTGATCACGCATTTTGGTGCAACATGGCACAATTCCGACGAATTTTACGGTTTTGGTGCAGCTTGGCACAGAATTTCGGTATTGTATCAAATTGGCACAGCTGTTGGACCTCTGTGGGAATGCTTCTAGCATTTAGAGGAGCCATTGGAGCAGGCAAAATCTGCTTTTCGAGCAGTTACCTCTGTGTTTGGAGCACGCGTGGGCTTCTAACGATACACACAGGAGGGCAAAAATTTTGCTTTAATTTAGTTTGATCTTCTCTCAGCTTACATAATTTATAGAGAAGCAGCACGTCTACCAAATAAGCACCGAAAGTAAACAAAAGTAGGATCATACACAAAAGCGGTGACATAAAACAGTGAAAGATATTGCACTAACAAGTTGGCCGCAGCATGAAATTCATAGCAGTGCATACGCACTAACATAGGCCTGCGCATGGGAAGTGGAGTAAGGGGTGGGAGGGGCACTGCGACGCACCTTTGCCCCCGTGAAGGAAAACCCTGCGCTTGCTTATATGCGTGCACACACACACCCACACAGACATTCAGAGCTCCTTAGAGTGAAACCTCGTCAATACGCACATCCACGCCAAAAACACAGCTTACTACACACTAAATGTAGTGTGCATTAACCATCAAGTGCCGATTTGTATTTCGTTGCGCGCGCCATCGCTGCTAAACAAGGAATGAATGCAGCGCCGCAGCAACTATTGCCTAAAGTGCCTAACACAAAGGCATTTCTTTCTTTTCCCCAAAGTTCAGAAATGACTGGCACTCTCACATGGCCGTCCGATGGCACGCAATCGTGACACCAAAGAGCAATTTGAAACCACTGTGGAGTCTGAGATACGCAGTAACTGGCACAACAACGAAACAGACATAAGCTTCTGTCCGCGATAAATGTGTACAGAGACATGCCACTTAGTAAAACAGTTTTTTTTTTTTATTCTTAGGGTTACAGGTAGTTAATTGTTTACTTGCTAGTTGCGAGCAACTTCAGCCACTTGGTGTGCACAGCATGCCGAGCCGCTTGCACCTACTCCCCCTCAGACCGTGCACAGATGCAGCCAGAAAGCAGTTGAATTAAGGCGATGATGCGAGGTTTTTGCAAGCGCTGCTCTAGCGGTCCTGGCAGCTGATAGAGGCGCATTTGGGTTTAAGCCTCATGAACGCGTGCCGTATGGATATAACAGCGCTACGCTTGATGTTCTAGTGCCCGCAATCCCAACGCTAAGCTCAGCTACAGTGACCTGCTTTTGTTTCTGCAGAGAAGTGCGCACTGAACACTGTCCCAAACAACATCGAAGCGGCAGGAATTGGCACTCCTGCGCACTCAGGACCATTAAAAGTGCGCAGTAGGCTCAAAGCGGTGATATGCCACACACGCAGGCTTTTTGTCGGCAATAAGTCACGTGGGTGCACTTTTCGGTGGTTGACATATTGCTTCTGTTTTTTGCCAGTGCTCCCCCCAAAGGCATCGCTGCAATCGCGCTGAAGTCTGAATAACTGATCGGCCGATTCCGTGCTTTTGCAGCAGTATAATTGTACAAGATGGCGAGGCCATCACATAATATCTGCTCATAATGCATGCTCTGAACATTGCTTTCAATTGCAAAACCACCTTGTGGCGCAGCAATGGCACAAATCAGACAAAAAAGACAGTTTTGGAGCAGTATGGCGCAGTAATGTCTAGTTGGCGCAGGTTCGCGCAATTGGTGCAGGTTTCGCACCATTGTTTTATGCATCATAGAAAGTGCTCATAAACATTGTGTCTAAGAAAGAAACAAATCAGTCCTTAAAACTTGCACTTGAAAATGAGAAGTACCCTCTCGATGGCCTCTTTGTCCTGAGGTGTGACCTGGCCGTAGTTGACTTCGATGGTGGCTCCTCCTCCGCTACCCAGGCCACCCGGTGCACCACCACCACCCTGGCTGGCACCACCCGGCGGTGGACTGGGCTCGTTCAGCATCCGTACAAACGCCTCCTGGTTCTGCACAAGGGCAATTACAGCATCCTCCCTGTTTGAGGCACCCCATAGGGGAGATTTTTTGTTTTGTTTTCACAGTGTGCACTATCAGCGAGCACTCTCGACACACCAGAGCCAGACAATATGCATAAAATATTCCATGTTGTCTTCACCCAGCAGCTGCAAGCCAGTCCCACCGCAAGGGACATTTTCACGACAAGCCAAAACATTTCACTGGCTTCGCAAAGTTTACGCCCTGCATGCAGCCCAAACCGCAGAAATCGCTGTCTGAACAACAGTTCACTCACCCTTGCTTATGTGAACCACATGTAATTGACGGTGAAGTGACTGATCTTTCACGAGTTGCAGTCCTCCCGTAACATCAGACTTGCACTGACACGTCACTTTAATGCCGCCTCCTCAATACCGAAATTGAAGTTCGTTTTTAAGTTAGCCGTATTACAAATATATTAAACATGTTCCCAAGCACTACAAAACTGCTGTTAGGGTTCGCAAATCAGCCCAGGCAAACAGAGACTCCAATGAAGCACTGCGCACACCACTGTTATCAAATGCAGATTTAGCGCAGGCTAAAACAGCACTACAACGTACAGTTACGGCTAAACACTGGCCAAAATGAAGGCTGAAAGTCATCTGTGATCGTGCTTGCGTGCAGACGTATTTTATTTCCCCACCTAATGGCCTATAAAGGTGCTTTTTTTTCTTAGTGAATTTTTTTTTTATTTTATAATTCGGACTTTTTAGCGGTTCCCATTGAGGCTAAATACACGGTCAGCGACCAAATAGTTAAAGGCCGACTTCGGCGATTTTTCAAGGTCAGTAGATCTCAATGAAATTCACTGGGTATATTCATTTGCTAGTTTGCACCATTCATGCCAAATTGCAGGCTTGATAGTTTCGCAGATTCTATCAAATGAATTTTATAGCTTGCCTCGAAACACTCACCTTGCTTGCCAGAATTAATGGCAACATTTTGTGTGTGACATTGAGCTTTGCCTGGCGGAAGTGATGAACTGATGTGCCACTGCAGCGTCTGCTTGTGTGCTATGGATTGTGTGGGTTTGGCCGGCGCTTCCTTGGCTAAGCGTGCAATTATTTTTCGGTGTTGGTGGGTGTGCGATAGGTGCCAAGTGGTGTTGCATTGTAAGATGCACACGATTCCTCATACATTCACCATAACAGCGTAAGCAGTGATGGAAGCGACATTTTGCTGTTTGGAGCAGATTCTGGAGCGAAAAAATGGGGCTTCGGAGCATGCTCAAGTGTCTTCGGAGCAGAAAAAAATGCTATAGCTTAGGATTCCTACTGCTGTTTCGGAAGCAGATGCATGTTCTTCTGAAGTCCAAAACATCACTTAATCTAATAAATGTTTATATTTATTATTAAACATGCCGTATGCTAGTATGCAGCTAGTATACAAACGGTATAGTAGCATCATTGACGTAACTCAGGGGGAAGGGAAGGGAAGGAGGGGGAGGAGGGACAAGGGAGTACAGACTTTTCTTGTGTTCAGGCTGTGAAGGACAGCCCTTGCAAGTGTCTGCCTTTAGATTTAGATTTAGCATGTCAAATAATTGTGAAATTTAGTTAACAGTTAAGTAGAGCACAATCAACTTTTTAAAAGACTTTTTATCTTTTACTGCGTACCCGTGTTAAATGCCCCTCAGCTGAGTGAATTATTGAAATTGGAAAAAAAAAAAAGGTGAAAAAAAAAAGACTGAATAGAACAATGCAATTGCTCGAGCTCGGACCCTATGCTCATTTTTTAAACTTTATTTGAAAGCACGATGTAATGCTTACATAAGTAAAAATGCATCCGATAATAAAGATACAAATTGGACACCATGGCCTGATATGTGTCACCCCTTGAGATTTTTCTGGATTTACGCCACTGAGTTGCATACTATGATGACAGTGTGTAACAGTTGGCTTATGGTTTTGCTTAGGCTCACTGGATGGTCCCATGGTTCAACTTGATTCTTTTTAGTTTGCCAACACAATTTCGGAGCAGGTTTGGAGCAGTTACTAGCAAATATTGCACTTTGGAGCAGCATGGAGCAGCATTTCTCTTTTGGAGCAGTTTGGAGCAATTGGAGCAGCACTTCCATTACTGGCGTAAGTGTTTTAGCCGATCGCCGCGGACGGCGTGGACAGGTAGTGCCATCTGGTGGGCATTATGTGCAATCGGGTAGGTTCCGGCAGCGTCGGGCAAATCTTTACCTCACACGTAGAGGCGCACTCGGTTGGGTTTCGGTATTGCGATTTTTTGGCAATTAAAAATTATTTTCAAATTTTTTGAGCATTTAAGTTATTGGGGACGTGAGAGGAGTGTCTAAGGGACATGAAATCACCATTATCCTGACATTGTAAAAAAATCAGCGGAGTTGGCCTTTAAGACTTTCTCTGTAGTCATGCACTTTGCGGCATACTTCGGCAGACAGTCGAGTGGGCCGAGAAAGAAGAAAAGGAAGCAAAAAAACTTGCCCTGGAGATGAGCTGCAAGAGCTGGGGGTTCGTCTGTCCAAGCTGTTGCAACACTGCATTGAGCAGCTGTGGGTTTTGCTGAATCACCTGCAATCAGGCAACAATGTACCTTCAGAACATTCCTGGCTGGACTAGGTAATGCTCAACTGCCGGCGTGTGCATAACAAATTTTTCACTGATAGCCGCACAACTACACAAACAAGGAGAGCCGGGCACAGTATGTCAATGCAAGGAGGGCACATGAGATTCATGACAACTGTTGTGCAACAGAAACATGCGCTGAATACACTCTTTCTTTCTGTAATAAAACCAGAACTCCTGATGGAAAGGCCACTATTTTGCCAAATTGCGACCAATTTTTGCGTACTGGCTGTTGATGACACCAAACTGACGCTGGCAAAACAGCAAGATTGCAGCAACGAATTTTGATTGCAGAAGGCTCTGCTGAGTGACTTCGATGTGCCTACGACGGATTTCCAAAGGCGCGAACACAGCCTAACTGTGCAGTAAATGTTTCGAATTTCAGTAACTTTAAAGGCGATGCAGTTAGTAACGTGCAAGGCAGGACTTAAGCTTCGTTTGTTGATGAGCAGGAAAACACTCCAGCTCATTTGTATAATCATTCACTAGCATCAAATCATTTCCAAATTATGACAGAGAACACATGCTGACGTTGCTGACAAATGATTTGCCAGGCTTTCATTAAAGCATGCTCAAAAGTTTTTGCGGTGATCCACTAAAAAAACCGGCACAGCTACACATGATACGCGTTACTTGCTGCATTGTCAAACCGAGCACTCCTAGCTAGTCACGTGCACTGTGTCACCTACTAAGCAGACTCCACCAGCACTGCTTGTTTTAACGTACGCGCGCATTTGCCCATACCCAGTGACATTTTCACTTTTTTTTTTTTTTTTCACGCTCGGTCGGCACCAGACCATGCAAAGGCATTGACCGTCCAGGCCAATGCGGTGAGTTGCCTTCATTTCCACAAGCAATGCACACTTTATTGAAGCAGTCCCACGCACAAGGGTGCGGCAGCGAACGGCTTGTTCGGTACGCTCACAGTAGGGTAGCGAAAAGAGCACATGCTCATGTTGGTGATTTGTCAAGTGTGCTTGAGCCATCGTGCGCATCACATGTTCTCTGCTGCTCGTAATTGTTCAGTAGCACTTCATAGGTATGGTGCTTGGCTACTGACCTGAAACACATGGGTTCGATTGGGGCTGCGGCATTAGCCATCTGATGGTGGGGGAAAGAGTGGACAATCGCGTACCATGCAGTGTCAGTGCAGGTGAAAGGACCCAAGACCGTATCTTAAATCCCACCAAACAGGCGAGACATTGCATGCATCTTTTTGCGACCAGCATCAAGTTTAGTTTGCTAGGTGTCATGGAGCCACCAACAGTGCTGCTTGCAATGGTCAGCGGCAGTGACAGCGCTTGCCAAGAATGTTACCGCAGCCCAAATAGAACAGAAGTTGCTCGTTTACAAAAAAAGCATGAAACATTGCATTATTGGGAATGCTTTTAGGCTTCTCTAATCCAAGATAAGGACACCAGGAAGACATGGAGTGCAGACACGCATTTTGCGCCAGCTTCGCAGATTTTGAGTGATTCTTGGCGTGAAATAAAGAATAGACAGAAGCCTTATTATTGTGAAGAAAGTGCAAGTTCAAGCGAATGCTGTGATACCACTCTCGAGTAGGTGGACGATTTGTTTCGGCACATTGACCGCCTTTCTGTAACATTATCGAATGCATGGTGCCGTTTCCTCCTGGTGCCGTGCATGATGTGCTTGGCCTAATCAATGACACCGGCGTCTTGAGCCCCCCCCCCCCCATCCCCACCCATCCTCAAGGCAGTGTCTTCTCTGCTTATTGCAGCAGCCAAAGGATGGCTGCTGCAATAAGGGTGGAAGGCGATGATATCGCACAACAAGAGTATGAGGATGAAGCAGGTTGGCACGTTGTCAACAAAAGAGGGCAGTTCAACGTAGAATAGAAACCACATCGTACGAAGCCAAGGACCAAGCAATCTGCTTCTCAAGCGAGACCCCAGTCAGCAATAGGTGGAAGAAGAAAGTGCAACTGCAAGGCAAATCATGGTGGCGAGCAGGATGCCCAGACAGCTGAAGGAACATTACAAGACAATTGTGAGCCCGTGTGACTGTTTCAAAGTCACTGACTACGAGATCAATCCTCATTTTATTTATTTTATTTGTACATACTGCAGGCCCTAATCGGGCCCGTGCATGAGTGGATACATAGAGGTAACATGAGGCATAATCATGCTCCACAAAAAGAAAAGAAAGAAAGTATTGATATACATAGGATACTTCATGATTCACGTATACACATTTTTAGAAAAATCAATCTCTTCTAGACAGTTGACCAAAGATTCCAGCGTAGAACGATTCACAGCATTGACTGGTAGCCTATTCCAAAAATTATTGGCCATTGGGAATAAAGAATACTTATGTGTATTGACATGGCTAGCAGGTTGAAAGATGACCTTATTATGGTTTGCCCTGAGTGAGTGTTTAAATGGGTCCTGTAAGTACAGATTGCGCGGTATCTTAAAATGACCGTGATAGAGTAAGTATAGGAACTTTAACCCAGAAATTATTCTTTGTTTGGAAAGTGGCTGAAGATTTGCTCTATTAATTAGGTCAGTGACGCTTGAATGCCGCGAATATATAGAGTAGATGAACCGTGCAGCTGATTTCTGAATGCGTTCAATTTTGTCTATTAGGTGTTGTTGGTGGGGACTCCATATTATGTTGGCATAATCTAAGGCAGGGCGAATAAGAGTCTTGTATGCATTTAATTTGACTTGGTCCGGAGCATTTCGCAACCTTCTTCTAAGAAAGAATAGCTTCCCTACTGCTTTTTTGCAGACGGTGTCGATATGAGGTTCCCAACTTAAGTTTGCTGAAAGCGCGACACCAAAGTATTTCACCTGATCACTTTTAGAGAGTTCAATATTTTCTAAAGTTGAACGAAAAATTAAGCGGATTCTTCTTATTAGTGAATGTGAGATATTTGGTTTTAGATGCATTCAGTCTCATGCCCCATTTCCGGCACCAAGCGCAAATATTTTTTAGAGAGTTATTCAAGCCGATTTGGTCCTCTGAATGTCTTACAACTGTATACACGACACAATCATCTGCGAAAAGCCGCATCTGGATTGGTGACTGGATACAAAATTGGATATCACTGATATAAATAAGAAATAGTAGAGGCGCAAGGACTGAACCCTGCAGTACTCCCGAGTACACATGAAGGCTATCGGACATATCCGTGTTTACGGCTACACGTTGTGTTCTGTTCATTAAGAAGCTGGAAATCCACGAGATTAAGGTGTCATCAATACCAAAAGCATGTAGTTTTGTGATTAAATCTTCATGTGGGACCACATCAAACACCTTTGAAAAGTCTAAGAATATGGCATCAACCTGACTGTTGGTATTAACAGTGTTGGCGAGGTCATTAGTTATTTCGGCCAGTTGTGTTAGTATTGACAACCCAGATCTGAATCCATGTTGTTGGTTATAAATAAGGTTATTCCTTTCTAGATGACTGATAATAGATTTAAAAATTATGTGTTCCATCACCTTACAACACGTGCTTGTTAATGATACAGGTCTGTAGTTGCTTGGTTCAAATTTAGAGCCAGATTTTAGTACTGGAATTATTTTGCTCTGCGCCAATCATCAGGAATACTCGAGGTAACCAAAGATACTTTAAATATTATAAGTAAATATTTTGAAATCCAGGCAGCATATCGCTTCAAGAATGCATTAGAGATAGAGTCAAGATCAGTGGACTTCCTTAGGTCAAGGTTATTCAATAAATGTAACATTCCTTTTTCACTTATAAATAATTTTTCCGTAGGCTGCTCAACAGGATAGGCCGCCAGTGGCTCTTGTGAAGCAGCGTGTGTGAAAACTGACTGGAAATAGTTGCTAAGCTGATTCGCAATGTCTTTAGGTTCAGTCAATGTTCTATTCCCAGTTTTAATTTACGCAATAGCTGGTCTATCTTCTGACAAGTAGCGCCAAAATTTTTGAGGGACATCCTTCATAAAACTTAGTTACACCATGAAATCGTGATTTCGCTTCACGTAATTTATCACGCATAGTGCCAACGATACCAACGATTTCGTTTTTATCTCCCTTTGTGCGACGTCGCCGTTTCAGTTTTCGTTTCAACTGAATTATCTCGCGTGTTAGCCATGGGTAATCTTTGTTGACCCGTTTCTTTCTTTGGGGAATGAAGTTGTTTTCGCAAAGAGATATTTCTTTAAAATGCGTCCACAATTCCAGAACACTGTTCAGGGCGCTGAATTCGTCGAAGTTGCGTTCTAATATATCTGATACTTTGTCATCGTCTGCGCGCGCATAATCTTTTACGTAAAGGCATGGTCATTTGGTAGATGAGCGAATAACTGTGATAGGGCAAGTCAGGACAAGCAACTTATGATCTGAAATACCTTCTTATACGCTAACTGTGCTGTTTTGAAGCGTATTTCCGACAAACATCAAGTCGAGAAGAGAGGACGACACCCCAATTCTCGTATGTTCGGACACTAGTTGGTTCAGCGAGAACGCAGTGAAAAGCAGCGATTCCGCACTTCTGGCATCTCTGCTGTCGTAGCACGTGTCAGTCCAGTTTATCCCCGGCAGATTAAAATTCCCTGTTATTATTATGTTTGACCTTGAGTTTGTGTGTACGAAAGATAGTCGTGAACAGCTTCCAAATACTGGGGCGCAGCATTGGGTGGGCGGTATACGCCAGCAAGTAATATCGTCTTGCCAGAATAAAATAATTTGCACCATAAGCTTTCGTGTTCGGGAATTCCATCAAGAACAGGAAACTTGATGTTTTTAATGGCTATCGCTACGCCACCACCTCTGGAAGTCCTGTCGTTACGGAGTAGTTTATATGATGCCGGAATTACTTCACAGTCCAACACACCAGCATGTAGCCAAGTTTGGGTAATTACCAGCACGTGCGGGTGATGACACAGAATTAAATTTTCGATTTCGTTGAGCTTGTTTACTAGGCTGTGGGCATTGAAGGACAA